GTGGAGCTTTCACAAAAACTTATCTGGTATCTAAATACATATATATAAGTTGCACTCCCGGATCGCGCGAGTGTCCTCAAGCCAGGCTAACACTGTCACACGGTCTGGTGTTGTGGGCGAGGAAGAGGGGAGTCAAAGTTGGTATAAAAGAAAGATAGTTGCGGTAAACTTTTTAAAGCGGGTCGGTAAATCGCCACAACCCTCCAGAGATGTAGTGATGAGGTGCAGCGCCCTCGCATCAGGTTTTTTTTGTGTCTCTCTCTTCCGAGAGGCGTGCGGAAGTAATCTATTCTTTATGGGTGAAGGTTGGTCTCCCCCGTGGGCCGTGAGCGAGGCCGAAGGGAGCAAAACATGCCTGGGATGTTGTGCTCCTGCAAGCAAAGGTAGCAACCTTACCAATTTGATATCGGTAAGGTTCAGAGCAGAGCTTGAAGCTATCTGCCAGTCCAGAACCAACCTATGTCGGTTCTTGGCTGGTGTGCAGAAGCACCCGGAGGGGCGGGTGCTTCTGCACACCCCTTGGAATACTGTTTCCTCGAAAAAACAGGCTTCCAAGGGGCGTGCAATGAAAACTGTCCTTCCTGGAGGGGCGGGTTCAATTGCACGCCTCTTTTAGACGGGCGGGGGCGTTGGCGGGCAGGGAGGGGGAGGGAGTGTGATTATCAACGCACGGTTTATTTGGGTTTCAGAAAAGGGTCCCACTATGCTACAGCCCAGGAAAACAAATTGCAGTTGGTGTAGCGGTAAAGTAGCAGCCAAGCAGCTGGGTGCACTACACTACTCAGATACACTAGATAACACAGCGTAAAGTAGCAAACCAGTGTTGCCAGTATTCATTCTATGGTTGTTGTAAGATTAATTGCAGCTACTTGGTACATGTCACGTACTGTGAGATGTGCTATGTGGCTGAAATCTGACATGGTGTGTTGAGAGTGTTGAGAGCATCCACCCTTGTCTCTGTAAACCCGCTCAGTAAGCGGGATTCACAGAACGTTTTTTGATATTCCCACCATTGTACACTCTTTAGCACTCTGTAAGTCTGTAAGGATTTGTAAATTTACAAATCCCTACCAAACCTTTTTAGGCCCATCTTAAAGAGGCTACATACACTCCCCCATTGCCTTCCCCACCTCACCAGTGCTCTCATCTAAACACCCCATGTCTATCAATGACCACTTGATTCCAGTCATCATGGATAAAACACGCCTTCAACAACCAATACCAACTGGTCATTGAGGAGAGAACATACTCCCTTGATGATTGGTCTATACCAGCTGTCAAGAAAACCATACCCCCCCCCCCAACAGACACAACCAACTGGTCATTGAGAAGAGATCTTCACTCAATGTTTGGTCTATACCAGTCATCTCAGATAAGATGCTCTCTGATTGACTGGTACCAACCGGCCATAGAAAAGAGAGAACAACATCCCTTGATGACTGCTATCAACCTGTTGTTGTAAGACGCAAAAGTGGTTGTGAAAACCCTTTTGCTGAATGGAGAAGGGGATGGTGGAGGTGAAAACTCTGCCCTTCTATGCTATCAGAACAACAAGACCACTGAGCTTAGCTTGGAAGTTATATTTATTGTGATAGAGGATAGTTCAAGATGAAGCTTCCGAGTGATGTGTATAAGGGTCTGAAGTTGTTAATGAGTGATGATTATATTGACGAAGCAGTTGTTCAAAGATTTAAAACCAAGGTGCAGAGCTCTGGGAGTGCTATGCTTCAACCATTAATGGTATGTGAGGCAGGTTACGGGCACTTGGCACTTGTTATGATGATGAAAGTGTTATGTTTGTATTTCAATATAATAGGGGGTATCAAATATAGGAAATCCACCATTCAAAACCAGTCACTTTTCCCAAAACCTTTTTTTGCATCAATGGGCCCCAAAAGGGGTCAAATTAATAACCAACACATTTAAAACAGGGTGGATTTTTTCAAACCAGTCAATTAAATAATGGTGGATTTGGTTGTATTTGATACCCCCTAATGTATTGTTATGGCTTTCACTTGTGTATAATCCTGTAATGTGGGTTGAGATGATCTGGTCCTCTGGTGGGATGATGGAGGGAAAAACGCAGGCAGAGGCCTCCTTATATAGACAAATGTAAGGAATTTTAGCCCCAGGGTACAGGCTTTTGAGGCATTTTAGCTGGACTGAAGATCCAATGAAGGATTTTAGCTGGTCTAATACATGCAGGTGAGAAAATTTGGCTGGTGAGAGCACTGTCTTGAGGGATTTTGGCTAGCCTACAAGGTCCTACTGCAAAGGAATGCATGTGCGCCTACAAAGGAATTCAATATGCACTATGAGCTAATAAAGGAATTCAATATAACACAAGGGAATTCAACATTCAATATGCATCCAGTATTCAAAACAAGCCACACTGAGAGTAAAGAATCCAAAAGATATCCCGTGATAGGTTGAAATCTGTGTAACTTCTAAACTATAAGAGATATGGGGTCAGTTGTAATGAGTGACTAGGGTTTATTTTACCTGAGAAATCCATTTTGATGTCAATTTTACCATATATATATTATCTAAATAGATAATAATAATTTTTTGTAGTTTCTGCATAAAAACACAGTATTATTTACCACATTGTTGAGGAGGGTACTGTGAGCCTGGGTCTCTATAGTGACAGCAGGACACAAGATATGGGGGGGCACTTTTATATGTATTTCTTAAGAGAAGAGGGATACAAATAAAAGTAAGAGAAAGGGAGAAGAAGAGTGAAAGAATTAAATGATATTTTTGTTCTTTATTTATTTTAAGATTATGATTAAAGTTCTGGAAGTCTTACTGTCCCTTTTTGGATGGCTGCTGACGGTCTTTCTTTCCTTAGTAGGATGGCTGTTATAAGCGGAGCTAACTCTGACGCCTCCAAATCAACAGAAACTGAAATGGGTTATTGATACTGATGAATCAGTTCAACTGTCAGCCTGCTACTATTCAGAGACAACCTGACCATAGCATATTAAATATTTAGAGACATTATTACACATACTACCCCCCTAGCATATGTAACTAATGTCTATTTTATATGTACATAAAGATAGAGACATTATTACATATAAAAACATTAATATTTAAATAAGTGGAATCACGATAATAGAGACATTAGGGGGGTTCACGATAGCATTTCACCAGAAATTTTTTATTGTCCCACCAGAACAGCTGCGCGTGCTGCGCAGGATAAAATTTTATCACATTTTTGAGTCACCAGAAGTGATCAACCAGTAACGTTTGGCAATGGAAACGCACTGGTGAGCCCCCATTATCCATCTTAAGTCTGTGGTGGTTCCACATCACCCCTCCACCACCCGACAATCCTGGTATTCCCTCTGTACCCCAACACCACCCGATGCACAAATACAGCGAACGGCAGCAAATCCTCCGAGACCTGTTCATGGTCTTGATTTTCCTCCACCACGAGGAGACCGACAAGATCCTAGACTCCACAATTAACATTCCCTAAGTCCCTTCACTTGGATCGATTGCGGCACCGGAAAATCCCGGTCGGGCTTTGGTGCTAGACATGCTGTTCGAAGACGAAGCTATGGTGTCTGATCTCATACACTTGATACTGTCAAAGCGATACCTGAACAACCGACTGCCGGCGCGAACTCACAACGAATATAACTTAGCACTGCTGTTCGACATGCGCGACGAGGATTTCAAGCAGGCGGTGCGCACAACAAAGACCGGTTTCACCTGGCTCCTAGAACAAATTTACTTCAATGCAATCTTCTACAGCAATAGTCCCCGCCCTCAACTCCCTGTCCCTCATCAGTTGGCACTCACTCTGGAACGTCTTGGTTCAAACGGTAATGGGGCGTCCGTGGGCCGTTTTTCAAGGAACCTATCTGTGGGCCGGGGAACGGTGATCAAAGCGAGTCGCCGGGTGATTCGGGCTATCAACGACTTGTCTCCTCGCTACCTACTCTGGCCAGACAAGGAAAGGAGAGATGAAATCTCGAAGGTCATGAAGGCCGAGGGCTTCGAAGGATGCATTGGTTTCGTTGATGGTACGACTATCCCCCTTTACCAGCGGCCTTCTATCGACGGTGAGGTGTTTTTTGACCGCAAGAAACGATACTCGATCAATTGTCAGGTCATCTGTGACTGCGACCGATTCATCACGGCGTACATGACTGGATGGCCGGGGTCATGTGGTGATAGTATGGTATTTAAGCGAATGATGGTCCATAAGGAGCCGGCACTCTTCTTTGATCCTGGTTGGTTTCTCTTCACTGATTCAAATGTGTTCAACATGTGCTATGGCTAATCTACTGCCTCTGCTGGATCAGGACAGTACCTGATTGCGGACTCAGCTTACGAATTGGGTCTGCACTGCATTCCCGCTTACAAAGCCCCGGCAGCATACATCCAAGAAAACACGGAATTCAACTACTGCCTTGCAAGGTCCCGGGTGCGGAACGAACACACAATCGGGATTCTCAAGGGCCGGTGGGCCTCGCTGCAACACCTCCGGCTGGCAATTCAAAAGCCTTCAGACATGATGGAGATCATCAGATGGGTCAACTGTTGTGTGACTTTACACAACATGCTTGCCCATCTGGGTGATGCCTGGGACAGCTTGGAACAGTCGACCGAGGATGGCCCTGCGACTGCGGCTAGGGGATCACCTGAGGATACTGCAAAAGAGCATCGAGAGCTTGTACAGGCTCATTGTTTGGAGAAAAACTACTTGCTTGGGGTCTTGCCGATGTGAAAGAAAACAAGGATTATCTCTTTTTGATCTTTGCAATGAATTTTTTTATCCTTGTGTGCTGCTAGTGTTAGTAGATTCATTATCAGAGGATGTTCCACCACTGGGCTGTCTGGTTTGATTTCCCGGTTGGAAGTCAACGTCCTGAGGCCCCATCACTGGGTCAAGGAGGTCCCAGTGTTCACAAACCCTGTGCACATAAACTGTGGGGGAGAAGGCGCATAATTAGGAACATCCCCAGAAAGGTAGGTAAAATTATTGGTCACACACCAAAGACAATAGGATAAACCTCCTCACCGGCTCGGGTGACATGATTGACAAAGTCACGGGCAGTGTTGTACGATCTTCGGATCACTTGGATCCGGTTATTGATACCTAGCTCACATTCAGGGTTAGCTCTTGAGCCATGAAGGTGGAGGATATAAGACTTACCAATTGGATTGCGGTGGTGGATACCATGCTGTTGCATGATCTCAACTATTTCTGTGCAGAATTCTTCTCGTTGATTTCTGGAGATGGGGGTGCTCAACCATCGCTCGTAATTTCCTGGAGTTGAGAGCCAGGTGACCAATATGGCCATGCTGGACAGCCCGCCATTGACCGCATCCAGATGCCATGATCGGCCTTGGGCCACTACACTACGGGTGAGCCGGATTGATCGTCCGTTTTGCAGTCGATCCATGTAAGATGTTTCTGGGTTGTCGGCTTTGATCGGTTGGTGTAGATTGAGCTTGTGAGCATAGGACAGTTACGGGTCATGTGAATACACAACCCAAGGAACCAGGTGACCGGCACCAGCCTTGTACAGGCTTGCCACACCTGCATTGTACAGGTATTCTGACCCACAAGTTGGGCCTCAAGAATTGGATGTACAATTGGTAGTACATCTGAAGCAATTGCAAATGAATGTGGCCCCGATAGACAATAGTTTAGCGGGGCCCGGTGTTTTGTACACCTTCCGATGGCATAGATTTGATGATAATGGACTAGCACAAATATGAATTCCTTGGCATAGCAAACAGATGGGGATAGGAAAATCAGGCAGGACATAAATATCATCTGGTGATAGGGAAATAGACCGAGCAGACAAATAGACAGAGCAGACAATTTTCCTGGTGATAGAAGACTATACTGAGCAGACCGTGCTGTGAGAAAGAAAAGGAGGACGTGTTGGGCGCATCACAGATGCCCAACTGAGTGGAGAATAGGAGCCAACGACGGAAATGCCGTCTACCTGTATGACAAGCGAACAGGGCCACAATCAGATGATTGGTTTTACAATATCAGGACATATAGAAAAAAACTAAAACTCACTCGGAGGAGGTATTATTTCATCCATATATGGCTTTCAGTAGGCCTTCGACCTCTGTGTGCGACTTGCCTTGGCTGATCCACTCTTGTGCAGCCTTCAACTTTGATTCGGCCAGTTTCATCTGCCCCTGAAGCCCGTCTTTGGCCACTGCCGCCTCTTTGTTGTACCTTTCCTTTTCCCATTTAAGTCGATTTTCCTCCTTCTCCTTCTCCCACTGCATGTGCTCCTTCAGGTACACAAACTTCTCCGAGTTAGAGTTTTCAAAGGCCGAAGCAAGAGTGGATCGGGCTCGAGGATTGACGCCCCTGGGGGGACCTGCTGGGCTGGCATCAGTCGAACGTTGATTTGCAAAAGAACGGCGTCCTGCAAGTATACCGTCTCCTTGACCAGGGTGAGGCGAGTCCGGGGTACTTGTTTGCACGTGTGGGGGTCCCAAGGCCGCACCAGAGGACCGAACGTTCACACCAGCTAAGAACCGCGGGGTGGCCAGGCCAGGGGAGGGGGTAAGGGCAGCGCCACTGAAGTTGAGGGGTGGGGGAAGGACATCATCGGCCAGGCTGAGGTCACCGTCCAATGTTGGCAGGGTTAGATCAGGGAGTTCCTCATGCAAGACCGATCCTCTGCGTGACTCTTGCTGTTCGGCCGGAGTGGTTAAGCCCGATGGGGGGGGGGCTCGTCTTGAGTTTTGTCCCAACCTGGGAAGAAGACCTCCGGCGACGATTCACGATCTTGCGGGTTTTCGGTATCATCGGCATTCATATAGAGGTCGGCTCCCACACCTGAGTCAAATTGAGCAAGCGGAGTAACGTTCGCTTTCCCTCCAAAAATGCTGTACATACGATCGTAACAGGGGCATTTTTTCTCCAAAATCTCAGCCAGGGTGGGGAGGTTATCACCTTCCTCGATTCCGGCCCCAGTGTTCTCAGCCCACTCTTTTGGGGGTTGATAAGCGCACGCCAGCCCCCCTGGCGCACGCCAGGTGCGGATTGGCGTGCGTGCCTGCACGCCAACGAATCTGGACGTGCGGAGCCGCACGCCAATGACCTGCAGGGATATACCCTGCAAATTTGGCGTGCAGGCCCGCACGCCAAAGGTTTTTAGCGTGCAATTCCTCACGCCAAAGCTGCAGGGGCCTAAACGCATATACATATATGTGTTTAGGCCCCAGACCAACCCATCCGACCCAACCCTGGGTCGTATGGGTCGGCCTGGGGCCATCGTACAAGGTTTTAACCTTGTACAGATGACCGATCAAGGTTCAACCTTGATCGGTCATCGTCAAGG